CATATTATGCTCGCTAGCATTCATGTTTAGTGTCTGCCTATATTTTTCTGGCCACCATGATTTCTGTCTATGCACTACATGATTCTGAGATCCACAAGCAGGCGATTTGATACACAGTCCATGTAAACACAACGGTCACATGGCATGCACTACCATGGGGAGTGCGGTTGAACAGCCCTTGCGCTGGCGTAAAATAAAAACACCCTTGCTTTCACTCTTATGGCGGAGACACTGGGAATAATACGTAGGGTACGTGCATTGGCCTCTAGCTCACTATTGCTATATGCTAATTTGTTTGTCAATAAATCCAGCGACATTAGAACCTAATAAAAGAAGTTACTGTCATTGGGGGCACAAAAGAGCTTCAAAAGGGGATGCTCATTTCCACCGGTTGCAGTATAATATCAGCATAAAGTTTTATACTATCCACTAACTTTTAAGAGCCCTTTATAAGCTATATTAAATGCTAAAGAGGTTCTGGTGAAGAAGCGTGGCAATTATAGTTCACCGCATGGATGTATACCTGAGGCTTCCACCACTCTAATTGTTACCCAATGTTTCCCCGCGGGAACGCGCTACGCGTACGCTAACCTCGACTACTTGCAGTGGTCAAGCACAAAGATGCCCAGGTACGTGCCATAACCCGACCGATCTGCTCTCTATCTCTAATTGTGAAACATTAGCGACCGTTACTGACAAGGCGAGTAGAGAAATTATCACAATTCAGGCCGGCCAATGTGGCAACAATGGTATGGAATCCGCGATAGCACACCACCCACGGAACAACCGTCATAGCTGTGTCGAGACGACGAGACGGCAAACGGATGAAACCCCCGGGGCGATGTATAGCTCTGCTGACAGGTTATAGTCGGCAGCCAATTCTGGCAACAGCTTTGCCTGGAGCATGGAATAAGTCAAGATGGGAACTTGGAGGAATTTGCTACCGAAGGCGGTGATCGCAAGGATGTTTTCTTCTACCAGGTATGAGAGCTACTTCAACTGTCTTGGTCTATGGTGCTTGCGCGTGCGTAGAATGCTAATTGAGGGGGCTTTCTAGAGTGATGATACCCGGTATATTCCCCGAGCGATCTTGCTGGACCTGGAACCCAGAGTACGAGTCTACCTCCTGCGACGACGTGACGAACATATGAGCTGAGTTTAGCTGTTTAGGTCCTCAATACGATCCAAACTGGTCCCTATCGAAACATCTACAATCCTGAGAACTTTTTCGTGGGACAACAGGGTGTTGGCGCAGGGAATAATTGGGGTGCTGGGTATTCCGCGGGTGAGGCTGTACAAGAGGATATCTTCGACATGATTGACCGCGAAGCCGATGGCAGTGATTCCTTAGAGGTATGTTTTCGGAATATCTGAAATGTGGAGGACTGGAGTGGTCAACATGGGTACAATGGGAACTCAATGGCTGATGTTCACATTGTGACAGGGATTCATGTTTCTGCATTCGATTGCAGGAGGTACTGGGTCTGGAATGGGAAGTTTCATCTTGGAACGGATGAACGATCGATTTCCTAAAAAGCTGATTCAAACATACTCCGTCTTTCCGGATACTCAAGCGGCAGATGTTGTGGTCAATCCGTACAATAGTATACTTGCGATGAGGAGGTTGACACAGAACGCTGACTCTGTGGTAAGTTTACGCTGTATTAGCTCTGTCTTGATGACAATGACTAAAGCTGTCTAGGTGGTTTTGGATAATGGAGCTCTTTCAAGGATCGTAGCCGACAGGCTTCATGTGCTGCAGCCTTCGCTTCAGCAAACGAATCAGCTTGTGAGTGCTCTTTAGCTTCAGAGGGGCCCGTGTCAAGCTAACTGATCATAGGTTTCAACTGTTATGTCTGCATCCACTACCACCCTCCGTTATCCTGGTTACATGCACAATGACCTTGTCGGGATCATCGCTTCTCTTATCCCTACGCCACGCAGTCACTTCTTGATCACCTCCTACACGCCATTTACAGGTGACAATATTGAACAAGCCAAGACGGTCCGCAAGACGACCGTGCTTGACGTGATGCGTCGTCTGCTGCAACCCAAGAACCGCATGGTTTCAATCAACCCCAGTAAATCAAGCTGCTATATTAGTATTCTCAACATTATCCAGGGTGAAGCCGATCCCACCGACGTGCACAAGTCCTTGCTCCGTATCCGCGAGCGGCGATTGGCATCTTTCATTCCTTGGGGCCCAGCTAGTATCCAGGTCGCACTGACGAAAAAGTCACCGTACATTCAGAACACCCACCGTGTCAGCGGGCTGATGCTGGCGAACCACACATCGGTGGCAACGTTGTTCAAGCGGATCGTCCAGCAGTACGATCGACTGCGGAAGCGAAACGCTTTCATCGAGCAGTATAGGAAGGAGGCCCCATTCAGCGATGGATTTGGGGAGTTTGATGAGGCCAGGGCTGTGGTCATGGACCTCATTGGAGAGTACGAGGCGGCAGAGAAGGAAACCTACCTTGACCCAGATTCCGGGAAAGAGAAGGAGATGGGGGTATAGGGTGAACCCCTTGTTCGTTATTTGCTTTTCCTTCTCTTCTTTCCTTTGTTCCCTTGCTGGTCTATAATTATGATTTTCCAGGTTACCCGGTGTGTTTGACTGGCATCAGGCGTTGCAATGCAGCTGTTATTCCCTCTGATAACGATAATTTGGCGTGGATAATTATTTAGGGAGAAAATGATATGAAGCTATGAACTGTAGATACCACTATGGTCCGTGTAACAGCCATATTTTTCAGCAGCGAGTGCTGCTGCACGGAGGGATGAATTTTACTTTCCCCGCCCTACTAAATGGTGAAGTGTCCGTTCACCTGCGCTTATCTTCCACCCAAGATTGGGAAAATGATCGACTGTTCGCCTGACAGATGTGGAGAAGAACCTCGTTAGATATGAAGGTGAGGGCTTTTTTTTTCTTTTTTTTTCTTTCATCTTTTAAATTCCCCATGTGTCTCGCCACCAGGAAAACCAGGATTCCAGTTCCCCTTGACCGCTCATCAATATCTCAACGGGGCTAGCGAATCTTCTGGCTAACACAAATGACTAGGAATGGAATTGAACGGTGAGTGTCGTGGACCTTTCTGGGTGGATAGTTGTAAGAGTACATCAGTTGTTGTCGTGCGAGGACGAGGCATTTGTGCCCAAGGTGAGGTTTTTCAAAAGAGGGGGGAGAAGCCTAAAGATATTAACCGATTTTCTTATCTGGATCGGGGAGAAGAAAGAAATAGATGGGGGGTGGAGATCCTGAGGGGTAAGGCAAATCTGGTATATAGGTCATGGAGCTACGATGCTGGTAGGTTTCTCTCTTGCATTCAGCAGGTTTTTTCATTTTTTTCTCTTTTTCCCTTTTTCTTTTTATTTATTTCTTTTTATTTTATTTTGTGGTGGTCGTGTCGATACTAGTATATCGCACGAGCCATGGTGTATGGTCGGAAGTCTATCCCATTGACGCTACGGTGGGAGAGCTACTTGCAGGTGCGGAGGTCCTGTGCATAAAAGAAAAGTACTATTATAAGTAGTGGTAGTAGCACACTCTTTCCCAACATCTCTCATCTGGATGTGTCCCACCCAATCCTATGTTTTCCATACTAGGCATTCAATCCAACTGTATCGGGAGTAGTATCGCCCATCTATGGATCTTTCTGCTAAGCTAACGTACCCACTCGCCCTTGATCATGAATTATGGAGGTACGTATGATCGAGTCTCCACCCGGATTTACCGAGAGCTCATACTCCGTCCACCAAGGTAACATCCCCGTGTATACGTTAACGAAGGGTTTTCAACGCCGTACGGAGTACAATCTCCTGCAAGGCATGACACGGCCACGTGATCCGACCCATCCCATGGGAATCCCCTGGCACTAGGGGAGTAGACTTCACGGGACCAGTCAGGGTCACTGGATAAGGAGCATCTGTAGCTTCAATTTTCGGGAACCGGGGGGGGAGGCTCACTGGGTACACCGATGGTATTTTGTCTACCTGTTCACTTACCAGGGTATGTTCGGAGTACATACCTACCTACCTAACTACCAGGTTGTAACTGTACATACTGCAAGGTGCTGTGCTGTGCCAGCAAGCCGGAATGGCATGCATTGGCGCTGGATTATTAATTAGGTGCTGACGTTGATTGTTCTCATTTCCTTTCCTTTTTTTTTTTTGTCTTATTATATTTCGTTAAAAATTACTTGATTTATATATAGATAGGAAAATCGAAAAGGTAAGGTGGAGGGATTAATGTTACCTTTCATAAGAAGAGTGGATTATTGCGAGATTAATGAGAGCATCGGGCGACATGATGAGCACCTGAGGTATGAGTTACTAGTAGTTGTACCCCAGTCCTGGGACCATTCCTTAACAATTAGGTGTTCAGTCAAACCACCACAAAAAGGGGAATCATTCCCCAAGGAGTACTAGAAAGGGGGCAAACTGAGGGAAATCCGATGAGAACACGTCCCGAAGTGAACTGTAATTAATTTAGAATTTTTTTTTTTTTTTTTTTACTATTTTAACTATTTACCCTTTTATTTCCTGGATGACAATGCCTCCTGGAATTATTTAAAACTTTAATTAAACCAGACAATTCGGACGCCCATCCGAGTGAGTGCAGGATATCGGGAAAACGTCGTGGGTTTGGGAGCCTGACGATTTTGCCTCACTGGAACCACGATAGTTCAAGTATGTACTACGGAGTATGGAAGTTTCTGGTTTCCACTCCGGATTTGCCTCCACTCGTTAGAGTGTCCCAGAGCAGTAAATCAGAGTGATTTTTTTTACACTTTAACAGAAGTCTGGTAACGGGGCTATACCGAAACGGGGGCCTGAGAGGAGCTAGCCCCGAATGGGATTAAACGGCTACGACATCGGATCTGCAGTCGTACTGCGGATGGAGTCGTGACTCAGCAGGTCATGAATGAATGCCTCTTCCGTATAAATTGACTTTGACTGCGCTTTCGCCGCTCCTTCTTCATCTTTGTCTCCTGCTTACCAGTCTGTTCTTCGCTTCCATTGTCTTCCTCCGGTTTGTGTCCCTATCCGACTCACCCGTCTTTTGCCTTCCTATCTAACAAGTATATATATAGCCTCCCCGTCCTTATCTGCCTCCTTATCTACCGTCCTTTCCCCATACCTCTTCTCGGCGCTTCATCTTCCCTTCAGGACGTCCACGTCACCCATTCATAGCGGCCTTGCAACCTCACTCTCTTGACTCTCTCAGTCATCACTATCTCCGTATTACACCGGAAACTTCGTGAGTCGCTAGCAATCGTTCACAACAGGCCATAATCCGCCTGCTCCAACTCGGCGCTTATCGGCTCTTCTCCGACGTCACCTCCTTATCCGCCTCCCTACTTGCCACCACCTGCTCAACATGGCTCCTCGCAAGCCCCGTTGCAACTTCAAGGAATGCAAGGAAGCAGCTCAGCGAATTGTTGGAGACTGCAGCTTCTGCAATGGGCATTACTGCTCTAAACACCGGATGTTGGAAGCCCACTCTTGCACTGGCCTGGAGGACTGCAAGAAGGAGTCCCACGCCCGTAACGCCGATAAGCTGAATAGCGAGCGTACCCATGTCATCAAGGGCGTATAGACGACGTCATGGGGCCTTCTACTTTCACCTTCTTTTCTTTTGAAATTTCTCTTTCGGTTCTTGCGCATCGCCATCAGCGAAACCGTTTGATTTAGCGCGGTGTTCGATTTGATTACATCATCGCCGTTGCCGGGTTCGTTAAACAACTCGCCGTGGCCATTATCTCTTTCCATTTCAAACAATATCTTTGGGTCGGGAGGTGTTTTTGTTTCTATTCTTGGCTTTGGTATATTTACTTTTTCTCCTGTTCTTGGTATATGCAAGGCGTTGACACCTGTGGGGGTTTTGATTATACGTTTCCCTTGAAGTACATTCTGCATGGGGTTGAACATCGTGTTCGGCTTTGACCGTCTAGTGGACGGCGAGTGCGGATACGATGCGAGACTCCCTTGATCTCTTGTTCCTACTATTCTGCTCTCTCCAGTCATACGCTTGGATAGATTGGCGGTTCGAGCTTAGGCCGTTCCGTCCCATTGGCGTGTCACATAGCCAAACGGTTTTAGGTATATACTGCATATTCCATCCACCTATCAAATGTTCCTTGAGCACCCGACTACTTAGCGTAAGCGGCGTGGCCGCAGGTTAGTCGCTAGCGGGACCCAGGAGGTCTATAGCTCCGACCAACGAGAATTTAGAACGTAGCGGTGTCATATGATTTTCACCCTCAAGTTCCAGCGTGATAGACGTTTTCAAAAAGAAGGGAGGGGAAAAGAGCAGGGACACGAAATAAAAAGAAATAAAATAAGATAAAATAAAGCGCATGACAACGATTGCATGAGGAAATTCTACAACCCTATAATATAGAATGGACAAACAATAATACCCAGAATACATGCATGAACAAAATAAAAAAAATAAAAAAAAAACTAATAATACTAGTACTAATAATAAAGGTGTCTTAACCGGGTCCAATCTTCGGCCTGCGAAAACGATCAGCCCAGACGTTTCATTTCCTCAAACGAGAAACGAAAAAAAGCAAAGATAATGAGATCTGAGATTAGAGGAAATGAGACTTACATGTCGTGATGTTCGCTCAGTCGACTGAGATATTTGTTTAACTCTTCCACTCGCTCTTTATGCGTTTTAACCCCTTCTCGTTTGAGACGTTCTTGTAACTATACATTTATTTGTTAGTATCTTTGTCATATACTCCATCATCATTCACTGCATATTCGGGATAGATGATAAAGATCGTAGTAAAACCTCTTCTCTCTTCTTTTCATTTTCATAAGGCAAGACAAGACAAGACAAGACAAGGTATGATAAACGACATATACTAACAAAGTCCAACACCAAACACAACCCCAAACTTCAAACATAACAGAACCAAACCCTCAAAGAGTCCAGAAAAGAGAAAGGACACCCTTAATACTGGAAGAAAAACAGAAATGAAAAACAAAAGCAAAAGGAAAAGAAAAATGTAAAACCTACCCTCTTCTTCCTCATCTCCTCATGCTTCCTCTCCGCCTCCGTCTTCCCAGCAGCTACGACACCCACCCCGACATCAGATTCATCCGGCTGAGGCAGAGATGTAGAGCTCTCCTTCTCATCTGCTGCCTGGGATGTAGACGCAGGCGGAGGAGCATCCTCGCTTTCTTTCTTGCTGCTGGTTTCCGGATTGCTTTTCTTGGCTTTCTTCTTTTTCTTTTCTATGCGGCCGTCGCTTACTTTAGAGCCTTTTAGTTTGAGCTTTCCGCCCCCGCCGACGGAGTATTCGTCGGCTGGCATCTTGAGCGGGCTTGGGTTGGGTGTTGCTGTTTAGGTAGTAGGTTTTGTTGCTTGGATGTTGGAGGATGATGATGGGGTTGGTGATTGGGTGGTGGGAATTGGGTCATGTGACCTCTTTGTATCCAATGGGTACTTTACTTGATGCGTATTGTACGGGGTCGTTTTTGATGGAGTTTCATTACTCAATATTTACTGATTAATTCTATGCTGGATTTATCTCCTAACGCCAGGTTCGTAACGTCGTGTGCAAGGCTAGTCAAAGGGGATCGGCCGCAAGCCTGTTCCTCGTTTGCGCGCTTCCGCTCCTGCAGCTACAGTGCTCGGCACCTTGATTCCGCAGCAGTCACCAAAATGATCGGTGTGCTGGGCGTGAGCGTGGTCATTGCCGTGGGTATGATCATGCCCATCCGTCTCCACGTCGTCGACCTCCCCCATGCCTGGCGCTGCGGGTATCAGGCTGCCAAACAAGAAGTGCTGCATGATGGGTAATTTACCCAGAACCTCTTTGACGAACATCTTCTTCATCCCGCTTTCGATCTTGCTCCAATTCTTGGCCCCTGAGATGTCGTCTAGCATGGGACTATGCCATCGTAGACCTTTGACCGTTTTCACACTATCTACCCATCGCACTTGGTCTAGGTAAATATACCTATCTCCTTCCTCGTCGAGGATTGCATTGTTATGGATTGCTAACGGGGTGATGTAAGGGTGTTCCACAAGCTGAGCAGCACCGAAAAGGAAAGGAAGGAAGTGGTAATCGTCGAGACCCCAGACACCATGAGAGCCTGCCGGTTCCAAATAGTACGCGGACTGGACGTCACGCATGAGACGCATGTAGTTAACGTACACTCGGAACACGATCATCCCGAAGTCTGCGGTCGAGAATAGCTGCATCTGGCGCAGACATAACAGCCACATCATGAAATTCAATTCATGGCCCGAACCGTAGTCTAAACGATCTCGCGAACCCAGGGAGTGTATGAGATATGCCGACGCTTCTTCTATGGCGGTCGCATCCTGAATACCAAGGATCTCCCTGTGCCACTTTGCGCTCTGCGCGGCGACATCGTCAAACAGGTCGCGGAAAGCAGGGTTACCGAATCTTGAGCCACCTTGGTCGATAGATGGATGTTGATCCAGAAGGGTCCGGATAGAGTCAACAACGGAGAGGATCTTGGAGACGTTGGGGGAAACCGGACGGTCTTTCGAGTCTGTGGTTGCACATCCACGAACTGAATCGGAGAGACCAAAGATGAAGGCGAGGATTAGAGAATAGGATGGTGAGGAAAGGAACAACTGATGGTCATGGTTCGATAAGATTCGGCGAACTGGGCGTGCATATTGGTGGGATGATAGATCCGGGGGGTTAGATAGCGGCGGGGTGACTGGAGCAGGTTCTCTGGACGGTCGGGAAGGTAGCGCCGGCTGGGATTTGCGGTTCGAACGCAGTTCTGAAAGTTTCTTTGACAGGTCAATCTTGGGTTTTGGTACTCCCTGCGATGCAGAGACCTCGGATGCCATGTTGAAAGGTGATGGGGGAGTTGATCAGTTGACTAATTCACACCCCACATAAGAAGTTCATTTAATGAAAGAGAGACAATCACTTGACGCGATGACATAAGGCGGTTTGAATGGGCAGAATTCCCTCACTCACCGAATTGACCGCCTCTGATCACTAGCATGACGCCATGCCACAAGCAGTAATGGTTCCTCATGACGATCATCATGTGATCGACATAGAGTTCGGTGCTGAATGGTCAGACATTGTCCTGTATCTGACCGCGTGATAATTATTGTGCTCGGGGGAAAATCTGCGAGGTAGCGAGTTCAGCTCGTTAGGCATACTGTTTGATTGAGGGGCAAACCCAGTGTGAAAAGTAGGAGCCGTTCATGGTTACTTATTCCTTCTTCTCCTGCTACTTGCCATCTGGTTTACAGTGAAATTTGCTAGGTTGGGAGATCAGGAAAGGCTCTCTAGTACCCGCGACTTCCACGGATCGAATCGAATCTCCACCGCAAGCTCGGGTATCTGGAAATCTAAAACTATAGATTACACGGCAACTCTCGTAGCGTGCCTACCCCTGCCGATGCGAGCACGCCATCATGGACTCCTCTGATTTGATCCAACCCACCACCAAAAGCGTCAGCTCCTCTCCCACGCATCGATCTTCATCCCCCCGTCCTTCTAATAGTCAACCGAGACGCATGTCTCCCTTAACTGCGCGGGATCAACCCAATGTGGCGCCTGACCAGGGCCAGCCACCACCATTCAATGAAATCACTCCGATCGTGAGCAACGGCTCTACTAGACAGAACTATCAATCCACAGAGGGTTTGAGGAATCGAGACTCTGGGTTCGGAGATAGTCAACCGAAAAGCTCTGGCCAACGGAACACAAGGGAAGCCGACCAGCAAAACTGGCAATCCGATTCGACAGAACCCCATGTATCGTGGTTCAGTCGGATCGCCGATAGATACGGCAGTCTGGAGTTGGAGAACAAGGGGAGTGTGGCTCGCGATCATCTGGCATTAGGTGCGTCATTTCCCCCTTTTTCCCTGGCGCTGGGTATTAACGATTTCATCATGGATTGTAGAGCGAACATTTCTCGCATGGTTAAGGACATCCTTAGCATTTGCATCCATCGGAATCGCCATAACACAACTTTTTCGCTTGAACAGTTCAAGTTCAAGCACATCGGGTGCGGACTACTCGTCGCAAGCCCTTCCCCCATTGTTATCACCACCGTTCTATGATCCCACGACCATTAGGGTGACTGCCACTTCCGAACGTCTTCGGAGTATCGGTAAACCTCTCGGAACAACTTTCATTGGTGTCTCTCTTGTTATTCTGCTGATTGGATTCCATCGCTACTTTGAAAGCCAGTACTGGATCATTAGAGGGAAGTTCCCCGCTAGTCGCGGCAGTGTAGCGGTAATTGCGTTTGTAGCCGCTGCTTTGATCATAGCCGCTTTAGTCGTCATATTAGCCATCTCACCGGGCTCTGTTGAAGCTTAGTTTTAGCGAGGCAGGCGCTGCTACTCTTTACTCTCTTCATTCTCCGCTGGCCGACCATCGATGACTTTTCACTATATCGGCTTTTATTCTGGTGTAAATGGAGGACCTTCGGAACCCTACTGTGATCGACGTTTGTAACCCACGAAGACAGTCTCATGTAGATACGTGTATTAGTGAATATATAATGTAAAGTGCCTATTCGCGTGTGAAGGAGTTAGTCAACTGTTGTATGGTTGTTCCGAATGTCAGGATAGGAGTCCAAACTATGGAAGCCATAACAGATTGACTGAAGCACACCATGTATGATGTCTGTCAACTCATTGGCCCGCGCATTGTTATCCCAAGGGCGACAAAGCAAGAATACTCTATATTGTCCGTTTCATAGATTCTTACTGTCTGCATAGAAGGGACATGCTCATGTTGACTTGCCAGTCTAAGTTCAGCGTCTCTCTACCACAGAGTCTTTCGCATCAGTGCTCTGACCCTGCTCTAATAAACATGCCTCCTATCCCTTTATCAGCCTATAACAAGTGCTACGGGTAGGTAGTTAATCATACAGTGTTTAAAGTTAACCAATGTTCCACCGGCATATCTCTCTTGGATCTACTCTACTGGGTCCCAAGTCTCGCAACGAGATGTCAAACTAGCTTCTACATGCCCTTCGTCCATCTTCTCTTGAAGACTAGGTATCGAAGCTGTATTCCATACGAGTATACTACACCAGGACTTTGACTTATTAAGAGAAATCCTTACGTCGAGAATATGAACATGAGACCCACTTCGGCGACGAGATTATGTTACTTCAGCTAGAGGTATAGAACATTACCCATAGCCTAGAATTTCCGGTGCAGTGGGATTCTGCACGTATGGCGAGGGAAGATTGAATCCAGCACCAGCTACATCACATGGCACTGTTCGTCTTTTCGTCACTGCCTGATTGGTTTGCACTGATATATAGGATATAATGTTATACAGGCCGATCCGACTTCGATAAACAACTCCAAGATACAGATTTCGTAACAAGGCAGTGAGTCGATCACCTTTTCATGTTCAGTAGATGTATAAAGGATTCATTGTCCAAAGGATTCAGTATTCGCATGTGACTGGCCAAGGTAAAACATTATGCTACATCCACTTGGCAAGCATATGGAATTACCGAATGTGGTCAACTGACAACGATGCGAACATCCTATGGTGGTAAAAGAAAATATCAGCTGATGGTGCAGCTGATGGTGCATGCCAAGCATCTAGGTTGCCTGAACATCCCCGAAAATAAGTCTGCAAAATCTTCGACGAGGCTTTAGGCAGTCCAAACCGAAAGCGACTTTCCGAGTGTTGTCGGACACAGTGTATATAGAATAAGGCATTCGGTAGATAGAACGCCCCGGTAGTATGTGAAATGTCAAGCCCTGACGCGAGATAGACCCCCTAGCCTACATCTATACGCACACTCACTCGTGACTTTCTAGTTAGCAAGTACACATTCACTGAGAAAAGCTCAGGCCTGGCAGAAATTGGAGTACAAACTTATACGTTGTTATTCGGATGTGCTCCTAGCGCATCCACCCTATTACCATATCAGAATAGGGCCCTCTGTATTAAGCACCACCACTACGAATAGACGCAGTCGGTGACCGCACAATACAGTTCCTGGAGCTTAGAGTCGGTCTCGTGAAATTGAACGCGGCCTCCACTCACCACTCACCGAGCGCAATCGAGATCTTGCCAAGTGACACAGTTTCGGGATGACACATAAACCCCGCGTGGAGAATTGGCCCGTCATGCCGACGGAGCGATTGACTGTAACCTTGAAACTGGTGAGTTCCCTTTAGCGCAATCGGCTATTGGAGGTGCCGATCCATCTGCAGGGGGATATTAATAGTGTGCTGATGCAGGGTAACACAAGTCACGCCGGAGACGCAGCGTGTTGCAGGCTTTGGGCGTATCGAATACAACCTTGCAATCCCCACGCCTCGACTTCTTTTTTTTTTTTTTTT